TGTCCATGAAGATGGTGTCCATGGGGATGATGTCCATGAGAATGGTGCTCACTAGAATTATGATTATGATCATGAGAATGTCCATGTGTCCGATTGTGGCCAAAAATGGGGTGATGACATTTTGACCCTGGAGGAGGTCCACCACCTGGATGATCTTTGTCTTCTAGGGGAAGTGGGCATCTAAATTTATGTGGCTTATGGCGATGATGGTGATCTCGGGGTCCACAATGGTTAAACGGGGGTCTGCCTGCAGGAGGATGCTCATGCTCATCAGAGGGAAAGGGATGGCCAAACTGTTTTCTACCACTGAAGTTTCTATGTTCCTGGAAAAGGACATGGAAAGGTGAATACCATCATGTAACCAAAAGAGAAGTTAGATGTATAGACTAATAATCCTCAAACTTTTTGGATCCCACAAAGCAATATTTTTTTTTAAAAAATGATACCAACAAAAAGGCTATGGAATTTTTATCTAGCCAAGTTAGCATTTTAAATATAAACCTTTGTTGTTGTTGTTGATTGCGATCGAGTAGAGCATGACTCATAGCAACTCTATGAACAAAAGACCTAATGCCTTTCCATAATTGTCATCATTTTTCCAAGTTCATAGAGTTTCCAAAGGCACGTGGTTTAGGTAGTGGATGCCACTCCTGCTTCCAAATCTGTTTTACAACTGGAGCTCCGCCAAACACTGTCTACATTGGGAAATCATGGTACAAGGTTCAGCATCACAGCAAACCCAGGTTACTTCATACCGCACATTGACAAAGAGTGATGTATAAAGTGGAAGGGTGTTCCTCCAGATATAACAGCTCTAGTTTCATTTAGCAGTGATTAAGTGTCATCGAGTAAAATACAAGTAAGAGTAAGTTTTGCACCAAAGACCTGAGCTCTGTTCTATAACTAACATCGTTTCTGTAAATTTACAGAATTTAAAGAATTTGTAGAGTTTAGAGAGTCTAGTTTAGGAAGTGGATGTCACTTCTGCTTTCCAGCATAAATTAATCTGGAAATTCATCCAAACATTGTACATAATGGGTAATCATTATGGTATTTGACAAGACTATGGAATCATGTGCAGCATCACAGCAACACCAAGTCGTTCAGTTCAGCAAATAGACAAAAGATTGCTGTATAATTTAAGGAATATTATTTCGAAAATTAATAAACACACCTTTGAGTAGACCTCCACCCTAAGCAAAGGCTCAAGGACACCCGCTCTTGGGAGGAAAAGAGCAGTAATACATACCAAACACAACCCCAAAAACTTCCCTTATGTGCCCATCAGGACTGCCATCAAGACGCAAACAATCAGCCAAACTCCCAGGGTGGAGGCTCCAAATAGAGTATCATATATGACTAACATTGTTTCACAAAAGGAGAGAAATGTTACTACTAAAAGGGTTGAAAGTTAACCTCTGACTGAAGAATAATGCCTTGTGTGGAATCAATGTGGTCTTAGGAAAAACTCCCCACCCCCCTACTTATTTCGCTCATTCTAACATAAAGCTGTGAAACTATATTATGGAATAGGATTCATCTGCTGACCAACATCTGAAAATAAGTGCTTTCTAATTTCTGTTTTCAACAGAATGTTAAGACTTTATTATTTAAGCACCCATTTCATCTCTTTTTCTTGAATGATGAATATTTTTCCTCTTCATTATCCTCCTTGTTCAGATTTCAGCATTTAAAAAATACACTAAACCATGTTCATACTAATGAATCTGCCCTTTTCTCATTGAAGGGGAGCTTTTCACACGGATGTTTGTATTATTTTTTGGGTTTTTGCTAATACAAGAAATACTGCATGGATATGTTTTCAAAATTTTCTGGGATAAACAGAAAATATTGTTTTGTAGCCTATGTTATATGGACTCTGGTGGCCTAATGGGTAGGAAGTTGCACTGCTAATGCAAAGGTAAGCAATTCAAACCCACCAGCTGCTCCTTGGGAGAAAGACGGGCAGTCTCTTCCTGAGCTAACAACTATTAAGTCTCAGCAGAAGAGTCATGACTACAAGGATCATTTTCAATTTCATTCAAAGTTGATTGAATTGGTCATGACTTTATTTTTCTATCAAAATACAACCTGTCTCAGTTCTTGTGAAATATTTTTATAGCGTCTGAGCTCTACTAGCAGCTGCATCCCTTTCTTATATCTTTTTTTCCTCTTGTCTCTTTCTCTCATTGACCTCACATTTTCTAGCTGATCTCTTTCTCATGTGTTGGGGCAAAGCTACTTTTCTGTAGTGAAGACAAGAGCTACACACACATTCTCTCTTTTGCTCTCTTCTTCTCTACCTTCTATCATATACACACACACTGAATTAAGTATTAACACGAAACATGGGAGAAACTCATCTTATCTGCTTGTGACAAAGGTTAGTTTGTCAGCAGCCCACCTCATACTTGAAGAATTCACAATGTACGGCAAGTTGCGTTGGGGTTTCCAAATCAGAGTGTTCTACATCATATGACAAATCTGATCTGCAGAATCCAAAGACCTATAAGGAAGAAAGAAACCTGTTAGTGAACCAATCTCTCTCTCTGCTCTCTCTCTCTCTTTCTCTCTCTCTCTCTCTGTGGTGTGTGTGTGTGAGAGAGAGAGATTAAACATAGAGCACTGTGTCACAGTTATTAAATATCTCTCTCTCTCTCTCTCTCTCTCTCTCACACACACACACACACACACACACACACACACACACAGAAGCGTGCCCAGCACACACTGACTGCCCTCCACACATTACTCAATACTGCACAGGTGCTCACTATACTCACCTTAGAATGCTTGGGAAACCAGTGACTCGAGCAGTTCCTCACGGAGAAGTCTATATGGTAATTGGTTCTTTCTCCTCCTCTCTAGAATACAGTGGATCAAAACACTTTCAGGAACATCAACAGTTGAAAAATTCACTTACATCAAATAATTGCATGAGTAATAAAAGGAATACTACTTTGTTGCAGACTGAGGGTAAAATATTTTTATAAGTATTAATAACGAGACAGAGCAGCAAGAATGTAGGAGAAACACAGGTAAAGCAGGAGGCCAACAGTTCTCAAACAACTGAAGAGAACTGAAGCGCTGGTTTCCAGCTTCCCTGTATCTTTATTGAAAATTTCCTGCAAATCACAAAAAGAATTCAGTGTAAATGAAGCCAAGTAAGCGCTTTCTATTGAAAACCTTCTGCTTGACTCAGGAGGGAGGGCTTAGCAAATGCAATGCAAGAATTCTGTAAAGGTTTAAGGATTGCCTTGGTGCCTCGGGGTGAATTCCAGCTTGTACCGTGCCTCTCCCACATCCTAAAATAGCATTCGGTTTATTTTAAATATTTAATATGAAATTTGGCTTCCCATACTATTTTATTAAGATATTGAGGTAAACAAATAAAACATGACCCTCCCTGCTCCCCAACCTCCCCTTTTCAGGGGTACCACTATCATTCAGTTAATGTTGTTCTTTTTCCCCAAACACTCCCTAAGTATTCCTTTTCAAATGTAATTTCATAATCCACTTTTCCTTTAGTGATATGTCTTAAAAATTATTTCCAGTGTAGATAGACAAACTTTCTTTTCTAAAGCATCATATTCATTCCTCTATTTGAATGCACCAAATCCATTGAACTTTGCATTTCCAAACATCAACAAGTTGTTCTACAGGATAATCCCAGGTGAGAAGCAGGAGGGTTTCATTTGGGAGGAGGGAGAAGTGTCTAGTTTAAACACCGCCACTGGATGCTGTAATGTAGCCTCTCTTTGTCTTAGTTGTCTATCATGTCATAATGAGGTTCAAAGCTCACTTCATCACTTGATTCTGCCTCACAGAGACCCACCATTGGGTTTCCACAACTGCAGATGTTTACACAAGAAGACAATCTATCTTTCTCCTTTGGATAACCTAATGAGGTTGCTGTTGTTATGTGCCATTGAGTCACTTGCGACTCATAGTGACCCTGTGTACAAAAGCCCGAAACACTGTTCTATCCTGTGCCAAACTCACTGTCTCTGACACACCTACCCGCATCACCCCAATCACTGAATCAATCCATCTCATCAATGGTCGTCCTCTCTTGCACTGGTCTCCACCCTTCCAAACATGATGTCCTTCTCCAAGGACTTGTTCCTCCTTGTAATATCCCCCAAGTATGTCAGATGAAGCTTAGAATCCTTGCCTCCAAGGAGCAGCCTGACTTCACCCTCTTCAGGACAAACCTGTTTGTTTTCCTAGCAGTTTATGGTATATTCAACACTCTTGTCCAGCACCACAGCTCAAAGGCATCAATTCTTTTTCTATCATCCCATTGTCCAGCTCACTGATGCATAGCATGCAATTGCAAAGACAATGGCCTGGATTAGGCACACCTTAGTCCCCAGCCTGACACTGTTGCTCTTCACTAATTAGGTAAGGAGGTTAGGATGAGTTTTATTAGCTCACAGAACACAGTGCTCTCTGTCTTTCCCTTCTGGGTTCTCCCTCTTCTCTCTAAGATTACTATTTTCTTCCTTCCTGTTTTTTGGAAGCGCTTGGAGAAAGAGAGTTGCTTGCTATCTGCTATTTGCCCATCACAGTGTCAACAACGCAGCAGGGATCTTGTCTTAAAAGGCAGAGAGTGGCCAGGGGCAGGGTCAGTGCCTCCGAGATCTCCAAGCAGGTTGGAGCCCAGGCCTTCAGGAACTGGCTGGACATAGGTAGAAACTCACCGCTCTTGCGACTCTTTCTACTTTATCCACCCTGAAAGAGGCAAAATCACCATGCTCTGTTTTATAGTTCTCAAGGGCTTTGTTGGCATACTTTCTGTAAGACTCAGTATCCTCAAGGAAATCCAAAAGCACAGGGCTGTCTTTAGTGTTGGCCAGCGCCGAAGAGACTGGAAAAAGATGAGAACTTTGCTGTTATTGGGTTGGAAATGACAATGTCAGTGATGGGGTTTAATACATATGAACATTGTGGCTATAATAATAGTTACTATTTCTTCCAATTGAAGGACCTGAGGAGAAGTACCTTGTTCTACCTTAATTAGTTGGTTGGTAGCAGAGCTAAACTCAAACCCAGAGCTTTTAAATGCCCAACTTCCTGTTGCAAGCTCTATTCATGATGATTCTCACTCATAAGGGGTTAATACTTCAGTGATAATCAATTCAGTGGGTGTAGGGACCATTTCGGATTTGTACAATATCTCATGAGGGTTATTATATGACTGAATTCTCTATTAATCAGCAATTAGTGGATTACCATACCAGAACTTGTGGTGCAGTTAAAGTCATTCACCCTAATATCCTCAGATTCTTTGACATATGATGTAGCTATCACTTTACATTGTCCGATCACCTGTAAGAGAGAGGAGTTTGCGTCACTGCATACTACTTGCCTCAAGTTGTACATGAAGGAATGAAAAGATGGTGCAACACATTCCTACTATTTATTTACACATTATTTATCCTTTCTTTAATAGTCTCTTAAAACCTGCAATTTCTTTTACTGTGTGCTGAGTGTTAAAGGCACTCAAAACCCCTCAAGAGAGTCCAGGAGAAACTGTTTCAACAGATCATGACCATATCTAAAATATTTTCAAAGGGGAAAAATAGATACAAATTGTAGATTTGTAAGGCTCTCATTTTTCCAGAAGTAAAAATGTTAAATCTGTGTGATTTCATCTTTTTGTTCTCTGCTTGTGGCAGATAAGCCAGTGTTTGAGTCCTCAAGAATAATGTGTGGAACAAGATTCTGTTTCCTACCAAAACAACAATTACTCTTTTTTACCATTTCTACTTATTGGGCCAGGTTTTCTACGACGTAATTACAAGCTCATAGGTTCTTGACCCATAAACTTAGGCTGGGAAGGACCTCAGAATCTATTCCCAACCCTTCCTTCTATTTTATAATTGAAGAGAGTTGTTGGGGGATGGACCAAGATTCACAACTGCTCATGCAAACTTAGAGACCACGAGCCCCAGTGACTCGTCTTGAACGAGGCTCCCAATGATGGTTCTCAAGATATTATTACTCAAGGTAAGTATATAATCTGCAAGAGTCCTAGGCAGGAGCTGCCAGTAGTGTTCTGTTATGTTAGTCTGAGTAAGCAAAGTAGACAGAGAAGGGAAATGGTGTCCTATTTACTTACTATATCAGATGGACGCTTGGCATTCACTAGCTCACAGTCAGTCCAGTGTTTCCTAGATAAGACTGGACAGTCAAATTCCTTGATATCGAGGACTAAGTAATAGACAGCTACAGAGTCCTAAGGACAAGAAAGCAACAATTGATTAACATGCCCAGATAATTCCCTTCAAAAAATTTAGTCTTTCAAATAGAGCCTTTACTCCACTCCAAAGCTATGCAGATACCCCTCTGCCATCCTACTTACTTGATGGAATAAAGTCCCTTGCAAGAGTGCTAAGCGCTCATGATGCTTCTTCTGCCCATGAACTTGTAACATCTATCATTTAATGGTGGTGCTGGTCTGGCAGAGGTGGCTGCAAATGCAAGCCTAGAATTCCGAGTGACGGCAGCCATGTCTCTGTGATGGTGGCTTCCACATAATTGATTTGTGGCTATGTCCCCTGACACAGTTTTATTCTACAATTTGAATTTTCTTGATTTCAAGACTCAAACTCATTGATGTGAAGTCAGGATCGACTCCTAGCTGACCCACCAGCTGGCTTGTAGAAGCTGGAAATCACACGAGAGGGGATTTAAGTGAGAGGAGAGTGCCTGTCTTTCTCCTGCAGAGCCACTGTTAGATTCAAACCTCAGGGAGGCCCCACCTCAGGGTTAGCAGCATGACTCTCTACAGACCACACCATCAGAGCTATTTCAAGGCTAAATTCACTATCTTCTTCCATAATCCTGTTCCTCCGCTCAACTTGCTTCTTTTTGCCTGCACTACTACAAATGATTGTCATAAGCTCTGGCTTTAAAATGTGAAGTCAATATTGATTTTCTGCACTTTTTTTGCTTTCGTTATCTAGTCATCAGATCTTGAATGGTCTTTCTTCAGAATGTTTTTATGTTTATTGCTCAATCTCCAGGTCTTAACTATGACTGCTTTGATCTGGTCCTCTTTTCCTCATCCCTGAATGCATGACATAGCTTCCTAGTTTAACTTCCAGCTGCTTGCCTCTATCATTCCTGGTACATTGTACCCATTGCCATCTACTTCTCCTTCCTGACACCTCTCTGGAGCAGTATAGTACCTGTTCATCCTTATGTATTACACAGTTGGTAGAGAGCCTGGGAATTGTACTGTCATTAAATCACTGACTGAATCCTAAAGTCTTCCATTCTTCTCTGCAACCTCCAAGGCCTACTTTTCTAATATTTTGTGGCTAATTCCTTTTGAATCAGCTCTTGACTCATGACAATTCCATGCCCAAGCATACTATTGTGGACCATAGGGCTTCTATTGGATATTTTACAAGTATTTTCCTCCTAGCTTCTATTAGTCTAGAGGATCTATCTGTTCAGCATCATAGCCAAATTCAAGCTTCCATCGACAGATGAATAGTGACAGCTCAACTTAAGTGGCCTTTAAATATTTGCTGATTGACTCATAGTTAAGGGGATACTGAGGGAACTCTGGTGGTCTAGTGGTAAGAAGCTGTGCTACAATCCCCAAGGCACTCAGTTCAAGGACACCAGCTGCTCCGTGGGAGAAGGATGGGTAATCTCCTCCCATGCTATTAACTGTCTCTGAAAACCCACCAGAGGGTCAGCTACGGGTCGGTTCCAACCACAGCAAGGGGATAGTGATCGCAAATACTAGTTTGAAAGAAAAAAGTTCACACTATAGCACCAGGAGAAGTTGATCATAAAACCTGGACCAAAGCCTTTGCTTTATGTGAGGCAGCAGGCACAGGGTTGACAGCCATGTTGGACCCTGGTGTGCAGTCACCCCACTTGGCTCTGCCAATTGCAATTTCTCACCGCTTGGTCCACGTGGGCATCAGCAACTCGCACCAGCTGGAAAAGGTAGCCATCCTTTCGCCATTTATTGATCAGGTCTAGCACTTTCTCAGCCACCGGCTCAGTCTCATCACAAGAGGTGGGGCTCACGGCGGCGAAAGAGTGCTGCAGTGTGATCAAGAGCAGGCCTGCAAGAAACACCTTCATTGTGCGAAAAGGTGAACACCATGCCTTGCTGCGATTCACCGCAGCACAAAGTTTTATGCGGACTTTCTAAAGCATGCACCCATACACACACGATTGACGGAAACAAAGTCTTTATACATCACGTTGTGTAACCAGGGATGCTCACCTTGACCCCTGGTTAAAATTTCCATCAAAGGCTGTAAATGATTAGTGAGTCCTGAGGGCAGAGTTGAGACATGCAAGGGGTGAGCTGGTGGTACTCTGGTCTGCACAAATCTGGATTGTTCTAGTAGACAGCAGATCAAAAATGTGTTAATGACCACAAGCATTGCTTAGCTGGTGTGGGGTGTTGGGGTGAGATAGAGGAATTTCCCTTTACCTGCCTGCCTGGTTCGGCCTCTTCATTTACCCCACAGTAACATGCAGCTATATCATCTGCAGTATGTAATAAATACAGCCATTAATACCCTGAAAGGGACTGACCACAGGTAGAGAAGAACAATAAAGGTTCATATCTGAATGTCAACTAAATTTCAATTTAAATTCATATCTGAATGCCAACTTTGGCTCTGTTATTCTCTTGTTGTGTGATGCTGAGTCAGATAGAAAATGTCTTTGATTCTTGATTTCCTCATCTGTAAAACAAAGTGCTTTCTCGTGATAGGATTGTGTGAAATTAAATAACCAGTGCCTTCTGTGACTCAGAGTGGGCGCTGAATAATGGTATTAGAGGTTGCTATGAATGTGCCTGGAAGAAGTTTGGGCACCTCCACGTCCTCCCAGTTAGTTCCCTGTGGCTGCTGGAGATATGCCAGAGCAAATAACAGCTGCCCCTTGGTAATGAAGGCAGAAGTCAAGCAATAAAATGCCCACCTCCAAGGAAGAAGTTGGGAGAAGCAAAGGAGAAATGTCCTAGTTCCGTTGGAGTACTTCAAAGGGGAATCATCCAAAGGGCCAGGACTCTTGGCTAAAGAGAGAAAGACCAGAAAGAAAGGAGTTAGTGGTAGGAGTCCTAACCTTAAAGAAGTTTAAGGTCACATATATTATAGATGTGAGTGAAGTTCCAAAAGTATTAAGGGGCTACTGAGCTGAGGTCCTCCTCTCTCTCAATAATGGTTAAAAGAGCCAATATTACTCACAGCTTATTTTTTTTTTCAGTTTCCAAGTAATTTTATTCAGAATTTTGAATTTGCTTCCTGAATCAATAAATACTATACAAAACAATGTAAAAATGGCTACCATTTTCTCTCCCTTGCTCCCCTCACCTAGAACAATACCCTGGGCCACCTCACTCTAGCACTGTACCTTCAGATTTGGTCCAGCATACGGGGTTGAATGACATCATAGCCCCTTGAGTATTGAAAGAGTCTGGCTGGGGTGGGGAGAGCCTCATGGATCTGCAGGTGACTAGGTTAGAGAAATGGATTAGTGTTTTCTTGTTGTTGCTTTTTTTAAGAGGGGGAGAAAAGTCGGCGACTGGGGCAAGAACCTACCCCAAAGAAAAGGGTGTCTAAAATGTTCACGGTTCCTTCTTTTGCCTCAAAAAGTGACATTTATTCAAAAAGAGTGGGGGGGAGGAGGAAAAAAAAAGACAAGATGTCCATCCCTTGGCTCCCTTCCCTCCCCCCTCCTCCTCCAGCCCTCCAGGATTGAACCCTGGGCCAGGGCTATAGCAGGACAGATGGCCCCTTTCAGATGAGGTCAGCAACATTGAGGGGCATTTCCTCATGGAGGTGTTATAGAAGGTCTCAATGTCTCGAAGGGTCCTCTTGTCTTCTTCTGTCACCATGTTAATAGCCACACCCTTACGGCCAAAGCGCCCACCACGTCCAATTCTGTGAATGTAATTTTCCCTGTTGGTGGGAAGGTCATAGTTTATGACTAAAGAGACTTGTTGTACATCAATGCCTCTGGCCAGTAGGTCAGTAGTGATGAGAACTCTGCTGGAGCCAGAACGGAACTCCCTCATGATCACGTCTTGTTCCTTTTGGTCCATATCTCCATGCATGGCAGAGAAGGTGAAATCCCAGGCATGCATTTTTTCAGTGAGCCAGTCAACCTTCCTTCGGGTGTTAATGAAGATGATGGCCTGGGTGATCGTTAATGTTTCGTACAAATCACACAGTGTGTCCAGCTTCCACTCCTCACGTTCCACATTGATGTAGAATTGGTGGATACCCTCAGGGTCAGTTCTTCCTTCTTGACAAGAATCCGAATGGGGTCCCTCATGAACTTCTTGGTCACTTCAAGCACATCAGAAGGCATTGTAGCTGATAACAAAACTACCTGGGTGTTGCTGTTGAGCTTCTGGAATATGTCATAGATCTGGTCCTTGAACCCACAGCTTAACATTTCGTCAGCTTCATCCAGCACAAAGATTTTTATGTATTTGGGAGAAAGGTATCTTCGATTAAGCATATCAAATACACGGCCTGGGGTACCAATGATGATGTGTGGAGCCTCCATCTGCAGTTTCTGTACTTCAGCACATACATTGGTGCCCCCAGTGCAGGCATGGCAGGAGGCACACATGTAATCTCCTAATGCCATTACCACCTTCTGTATCTGCTGGGCCAACTCTAGAGTGGGAGCCAGGACCAAAGCCTGGGTGGCCTTCAGATCCAATTCTATCTGCTGTGGAATTGATATGGCAAAAGTGGCTGTTTTCCCAGTCCCAGATTGGGCTTGAGCAATCACATCATAACCCTTGATACAAGGAAGAATGGCTCGCTGCTGTATGGCAGAAGGCTTTTCAAAACCATAGGCATAGATGCCTCGGAGAAGGGACTTGGAGAGGTTCATGTCATCAAAGCTGTCAATAATTTCATTCCAATTACTCTCGATGACACCTTCTGGCTCCATTCCATTGGGGCCATTGTCTCTGGACAGGGAATCCTGACTCGCAGACATGATCCTTAGAAACTCTTTTTTTTTTTAACCCAATCTTACACAGTGTTTTCATCCAGGTCCTCTCACTGGTACTCACAAAGAACTGAAAGAATTAAGCATTTCAATCTCATTCTGTAGGGGTGAATGAGGCTCAGATGCAGGTTCTGGTGTTGATCACACAGCACACAGGTGGCATGGCAGGTTTGGAAATCAGATTACCTTTCTCAATTGCCCTCTCAACAACATATAGCAGGCTGACTCATATAGAAACTCTCTCAACTCATTTACATGGAGCCAGAATTGACTCGTAACTGACCCTCAGGAAGTAGCATATGATCAAGCATCAATAGTGATAAAGGAGGAAGTTCAAGCTACTCTGATGGAATTGGCAAAAAGTAAGGCCCCAGGAATTGATGGAATACCAGTTGAGATATTTCAACAAACAGATGCAGACCTGGATGTGCCCATCAGGTTGGGTGCCAGGAAAGATGGATGACAGCTACTTGGCCAACTGATTGGAAGAGATTCATATTTACTTCCATTCCCAAGAGAAGTGATCCTACAGAATGTGGAAATTATCAAACAATAGTGATTGGGGTAATGGGAATCAGTGTGTCAGAGACAGTGATGTTGGCACAGGATAGAGCAAGGTTTAGGGCTCTTGTACCAAGGGTCACTATGGATTGCAAGTGACTCAACGGCACACAACAACAACATCACTAATATTACATGCAACAAAAATCTTACTGAAGATAATAAAGAAACTGACTAGGAGAGGACATTGATAGAAATGTACCAGAAATACAAACCAGATTTAGAAGAGGCCTTGGCAGTAGGTATATCATTGCTGATGCCAGATGGATCATAGCTGAAAGTAGAGTATCAGAAGGATATCTATTTGAGTTTTATCAACTATGCAAAGGCATTTGAGTGTTTAGATCACAACAAATTGTATCTAACATTGAGAAGAATGGGAATCACAGAACACCTGATTGTGCCCATAGGAAACCTGTATCTAGAGCAGGAAGCTATTGTCTGAGCAGAGCAAGGCAACACTTTATGGCTCAAAATCAAGAAAGGAATATGTCAGAGATGTATCCTTTCTCCATACTTTTCATTCTGTCTGTGGAATAGATCATTTGGGAAGCTACACTTTATGAAGAAGAATGTGGCATCAGGATTGGAGGATCAGTCTTCTAATAAACAACCTGCCTCATGCAGAAGAAACAACCTTGCTTGCTGAATCTGAGGACTTGAAGAGTTGCTGCAGAAGGTCAAAGACTGCAGCTTTCAAAATGGACTGCATCTTAATACCAAGAAAACAAAGATTCTCACTACTGGGCCGATAGATAGTAACATGATAGATGGATACAGAATTGAAGTTGTTATTTATCTCATCTCTCTTGAGTTGCCCATCAACATTCTTGGCACCAGTAGCCTGGAAATCAAAAGATGAGTTGTGTTGAAAATTTACTGTCAAGGACCTCAACAAAGTGCTAAAGAATAAAGATGTCACTTTAGAGACTAAGGTGAGCCTCATCCAGGCCATGATCTTCTCAATAGCTTACTATGCATCTGAGAGATGGACAATGAAAAAGGAAGACAGAGGAAGAATTGATGCCTTTGAGTGGTGATTCTGGAGAAGAGTATTGAAAATAGCATGGAATGCCAAAAGAACAAATAGTTCTGTCCAGAAGAAGGTGAAACCATTTTGCTCCTAGGAGGCAAGGATTTTGAAGCTTCACTTCACATACTATGGAAATGTCACCAGGATGGCCCAGTCCTTGGAGAAGGACATTCTGCTTGGAAGGATAGAGGGTCAACACTGGATGAGAGGGATTGACACAGTGACTGAAAATGGGACAAACTGTGTCTGAGATGGTGAGGTTGGCTCAGGATAGGACAAGGTTCAGAGCCATTGTTCATAAGATTGTTATAAGTTTCACTTGACTCAATAGCACATAATAAGAAGTGGGTTTTGAAGACTGTAAATCACACAGGAAGAGACAGTCCATCTTGCTCCCGTGGAAAAACTGGAGGATTTGAACCACTGGAGAAGCATAGCCTTTGGGTGAGCAGGGTAACTCTCTCTCCCTTGTAAATCTCACTCAACTCATTGCCTTCAAGTCAGA